TTGGTTGGGTGGGGATAGTGGGGATTAATAGTTTGTTATGAATAATTTGTGCCAGATTTTTTTTATAGATGCCTATAATTAACAACATTTTTTTTTCTATTTTTAGAAACTTAATTTTATGATGGGCATTTTTGGGTTAACAATATTACCTTCTTTGTGCTAGTAGTGAATATTAAAAGGTAGTTTTAAGTGCTCAATTTTACAGCAAACATATTTTATTTTTTTTAAGGAATAATACCAAAACATTTTTTTAAATTGTAACTTTGATACCAGGTAGTGGCTGAGCCAAGTAAATAAGCATTTGAAATGTTTAGTTTTCATTCTCAAGTATCAGTGTTTTTAATAAGTAATGAATCTTCAAAGATTTTAGATTTTTGGTAATAATTTAGTAGTTTTTGGGAAATTTTCATTTTTTTTTTTTTACAATGATATTCATCTTTTACAAGGTTCAAGAGCCACAGAATAACAGAGTTTATGGGATGATGTGGGAAGATAACTGTTAACCCTAGACTTGACCAGGTTAAGATTGTAGTGATCAGGGAAGCATCCTCTTGGGAGTAATACTTTACTTTGAGCACTTAAGATGAATGTATATCAAGTTAAGGGATTAGGTATCCATGTGTGTTTGCTTTGTTTCTATCTCTCTCTGAGGGTATGTGTCACTCCTTAAAATATACTGATGACACCTTTTTTATTTTCTATTTTAGATGTGCATGGGCAAGGTGAAAGTGTCATCTTGCATTGGTGCATTTTCTCTGACATGTAACTTGTTAATCCCTATCTTAACTAAAACATTTCTACCTTAATGATTAAAGAAAAAAAAAGACTGATTGAATTCTTCTTATACTTTGAAAAGTGTTTAAAAAAAAAAAAAAGAAGACAACTAAACTCTGCAAATAGAACCAACTGTTGCTTGTTTCCTAAACAATTGCGGAGGGGGAGGGGAGTTTTGTTGAAATGTAAATTGTGTACGTGAGATACAAGGTGGATGAGGGTGATGCCAGTGTTTGAAGTTATTTTGGTTTTAGCTTTAGCTGTTCATTCAGGCAGGTAGGCTGGTATGGGCTTTATCTAAGAATCCCAACAGTTAGATCTTAACAGATAAGATATTGCTCTTCCAAAAACATAAAGGGTTTGATAAGAGTAGGGGAAACATGAAGAGGATTGGAAAGTGGGTGGTAGGTGTGAAGGTTAGACCCTCCTTACTCTTCTCACAAGATATATATATATATATATATATATATATATTTGCTTACCATAACTTTATTTAGTAGACATTCATAAGTAAGCTATAAACATCTCACAAGAGATAAGTAAATGAAAAGGAATGTTTGTGTGTGTATGTGTGTTTGTGTGTACATATACATATATATATATATATATATATATATATATATATATATATAAGTGTTTGAGGAACGTGCGTATTGGGAGCAACTATAGCAAAATGTGTATGTATATAAAATATATATATATGCAAGTATTTATATATATTATTTATATATTATATATGCACGACTCTTATTGAAAAGCACTCAATATCAGTGATAAAACTAACATATTTAGTTGGATTGATGTGAGTTTGTGACCCTGGGTTTCACACTTTCTATGATTGTCAGACTAACTGATTAATTTTTGAAATTTGGGATTTATTTATGGTTGCATATATTGGTGTTTTATGGTAGTGGGAGGAAAAATTGTCATTGTAATGCCACTCATACATACACAAACATACATACATGCACGTTGGTGTGAGCTGCAATGTTTGAACATGTGTGTGTGTGTCTGCATATGTATTAGTGGCATTCTGATGATAATTTTTCCTCCCACTACCATAAAACATCAATATATGCAACCATAAATAAATCCAAAATTTCAAAAATTAATCAGTTTGACAATCGCATGGAGTGTGAAACTCAGGGCCACAAATTCACATCAATCCAACTAATATATATATATATATATATATATATATATATATATATATATAAAATTTTTCACTTAGCTAATTGATGTTATATTCAGCACCCTGACTCTAGAGTATGTAGTTGAACCTTTTTGTAATTATTCTAACCCTTCTTCAGGTGGTATCAGCAATTCACTGTCAGTTTTACATTATTTTCTTTCCAATTCCATGTCCCTTCAGGAAGTAGGTGATCATGCCTCTCTACAGCTTCTTTTTTGTTTATTATCTTTGACATGACTTCTTGAGAAAGGTTGTGGAGTGGTTTTCCATTGTCTTCAAGATGGTTTGAACTCAATGTGCTTCTCCTTTTGGACTTACTGTCATCCATTCTACTAAGCTATTTAATCAATAGCTGAAGAGAGAAGAGTTGGAGTCATGCTTTTTATAAGAGTATTAGTGCAAATGTGAAAACAGTAGATTAAGCTGGAATTTGAACTTTGCTTGTTAATTACAATTTCTATGCCAGTAACTGTTATGCTACCTGCATATAAAACATTTTTAACTTTTCTTTATTTTTCAGAAAATTAACAAAGAAATTCATGGAAATATTTGCATTATTAGTGTACAGGGCATTTCACATAATATGCATCAATGATAGTAGATTATATTATGATGGTACCAGTTTTATGAATTTTATCAAATCTTCCAATATCACATTATTTGCTTGGGATACTGAAACCCCAATAAACATTATGTTGTGATTAATATTTTTAATTACAGAATATTCAGCCAGTTTATGGTAACATATTTTGAACAAAATTTACAATTTTTAAAAGTTTTTTCTTATCGAATACAGTAAAAAAATCGCATATTTTGCTTGTGGTGATTCATAATTAGAATTTCATTTTTGAATACATTTTCCATTCAATGTATCTAATACAAAAATATAAACTTTATTTGGATTTACTCTTGAAATAGTAAAATTTTGAAATCAGTTTGTAAGCAAAAACCTGCAGAAATTAGGTATTTCTGTACATTTTTTTAAGACAATCTTTAAAACTAAATGCTCAAAAATTGTTAAAAGCTATGAATTTTTCATGTCACTACTTATCACATCAAACCCCAGCTTTCACACTGAGTACAATGTTGATTTTCTCAAAATGAAAACTAATGCTGCTCTTTTCTGACATTTACTATCTTTACAAGAGCCAGATTAGTCTAATAATGGAGTATAGGTGCATATCTGGGCTGGAGCAGCCAAATCATCACTTTTCAGCCATGACAGAGTTTAAAACATTCATGTGGCATAGTGGATGATGAATTATTTTCAGCCCTACAGCTTCTTTTCCCCCATAGACAAAATATTGCAAACCTCTTGTTAGTCTATCACTATTTCCATGGCAAATGTAACAAGCTATATTCCTTAGTTTCACCAGTTCAGACCTTTACAGCTAAGAGATGCCATACTATGTACACAGGACTGAATCATCCTCATTCCCTTTGTATTCCATTAGTAAAATAGAAGTTTCACTCAGACAACTTCTTCCCAAGAAGGGCTACTTTGTAGAACAGACTCCTGAGAGGATACTTATCTGATGATTACAATATTAACCTCTTCAAGTCTTGACTTAACCTTTATCTCTCTTACATAACCTCATAATCTGTACTTACTTTCTCCTTTTTCATCCAGAAAACAACCTCACTCAGCAACCCTCTACCTTGAGTGACTCTTGGGCCTTGTCATCACCTTAAATATATCAAGGTGTGGTATTGGGGGCTGCTACATGAACTCTCCAGCTATGGAATCTCTGGAAGGGCTTTCTTGGTTATCAAGTCATTCTTAACACTTACCTGTCCTTAATCTGATTTTCATGGAAATTACATCCACTTTTTTGTGGTGGTGGTGGTGTTGAGGCTTGTTAGTAACACTGAATTTATTTTCAGAATCAAATTTTTTCTATGAAAATATAAATTTAAGATAACATTCTGTAAATAAATTCAAGATTACTATCAAGACTGTGTAGGAACAAGTAAATTGAAAATTTTATTTTTAAAAGAGGAAAACCTTTTATGCCAATGCATTTAATCATGTGGTTGATAAAGTACTACAAGGAATTAAACACATTGGTATAAAAAGTTTTCCTTTTGTTTTTTGTTTTTTATTTATATTGCCTTTGCAGATATATTTTAATTTTATCTGAATTTGCAAGCAAATCGATTCAGAAACTCAACTTCAAACACATTTGAGATTGATTGCTTGTATCCATTTGAAAGGCATGAAACAACAATTCCACTTCCAAGTACCTTGATAAAATACCTTATTGTATACTGTAAGGTTTGAAAAAGAATAGTGGGTGAATGAGTACTGAGTCAAACCACTCTCCCATAATGAGCTTACCTACTTAGGCAATAGCAGCTAAACTGATACCCCAATTTCCAGCCTCAACAAGGTTTTATCATGTGCAGCTGTGTGTGTTTCTGTGTGCATATATATTTAAGAACTTGTGTGTATTTCTATCTGTGTATAGGATCATGTTTCCATTTTATTTATTTATTTTGTATGTGTTTATCCAGTACATAAACAAATATATTGTGACCTCTCTTCTTGCAAATACTTTTTTACTTATACTAAAATTATGAACAGGTGTGACAATTTGGTGTGCATTTAGTCAGCTATTCCTCATTTCTGAGTATTTCATTTCATTGCTGTACGCCTCTTCTAAATTTCTTTATCTATCCCCTTGGTTGCTGGCAAGACTGGTCCTTGCATAGAATATTTGCCCACACAAGTTACACCTGATTGTCAGAGCCAATCTTAGTTGTCTTTGCCAATTTTCAGTTATGTTTCTATGTTGTTCTTGTTGGTAAAAAAAAATTGAGCAGTCAGAGTAATTTGATGGTAGAGTGGATGATTTGTTGCATGTTTATCCCAGTTTTGCAGATTAGTATTGCTCTTCATCATAGTCTGTTTTACTTGATGCTTATAGTAATGAATAGCGTCTTTGACCAGTGCTGAGTTCACTGGAAAAGGATTTGAAATGGGAACCTATTGCTGTTTATACAGAGCACATGGTCTGTCCATCAAAGGCAGCTTACAGCTATATCACTTTGAAATACTGATTCTTGTATGACCAGCAAAGTTAAGCAACATTGAGCCTGGTCAGTACCTAGATGGTTGACTGCTTGGGAATACCAGGTGTTGTAAGCTTAGATGTTTGGGTGTTGTAATGGATAATGACTTGAAATTAGAGAGCCAAGTTCCAGTTGAGTTCATTATATTCATTTATGCACAAATATCTCCTTTTCCTTTAGCTATGGGTTAATTAATAAGATTTGTATCAGTAAATCATTGTTATCATTATTACAATCTAAATATATTTTCTGGCTTTAAATAACCTGCAAAAGGTTGATAAGTCGTAAAAATCAAATCATTCAATTAAGGAAAGTGTTTGATGATAGTGGGCTTGAAGGTGTTGATTTGATCTTTCTCAAGGATTACAAAGTTGGGTACACACTTACACTGCTTTTTGATAGCAGTTAATCCATTGTATCCAACAGATCACATAAAATATGGGGATTATACTTTTACACCACTCTTGACTTAATGTAAAATAAATTGCATAGTGAGATAGCATGCTTTGTTTTTTGTTTTTTTTAAAATAATTTTGTAGACAAATTAATAAATCCAATGGTTTTCTGCTAATACAGTGTCTTCATATTGATAACTGTATCACATTAACTTCTGTTGGGTCATTGTTGTTTGTATCATTCAACAGAAGAATGGAGGGCCTCATTTTTTATCAAATTATTATTATTATTATTATTTTTTGAGGAAGCTATTTCATGTTTTAAGTTCTTTCACAACATTTGGGTAGCACCATGTACCTGTCTTCACTTCTGGGAAATGATGAAGAGGAGGTTGGTTTCTATTCAATGGCAAGCTGTGAATACTGGCACATATTTGAGTGAGAGAAAAAGAAACTTTGTCAACACAAAAGGAAATGCTACTTGGCACTACATGATTCATACAGCACTTGTTCTTCTCAACCAACACTTGACACCCACATTTTTACCTGTAACACCACCTGATATCTGAATAGTGGGATTACTATACCGCCCCGCCCTGCTAAGCATGTTCTATTCTTGAATTATTGTACTTGCTTTTTTTTTTCCTCTTGGCTTTCTCAGGGAGGGAAATAATTTTTCCTTGTCTTCTTTTGACTAAATACAAAATAAAGGTATAAAACAATATTTGAAAATTATTGCAACTTCAGTTTCACTTAACAAAATCAAACCCATTATTAAATGTGTTAATATTTCATGAAAAGTCATGAAATATTAACACATTTAATAATAAAAGTATTAGTATTTTGTACTTATTATTGTACATTTAGTAAAAACAAACTAAGAAAAGTGTGCATTTATATAATGGTAAATACTATTTAAGATTATTTCAGTATTTTTTTTTTTTAAAGTGTGGAATATGCTGAAGTTATTTTTATTATCAATCATTACAGTTTGGGTTGAAATGGCTCCATCACAGGTCATTATAGCTAGAGTTGAAATGGTTTTATGTAGTCATTAAAAATAAATTAAAAAAAAATTGAGACATGGCATTTTGTTTGGCCTGTTTCTATCAGCATTTCTTGTATCAGGAAATGAGGTTTATTTCACAAATTGCTCAGATTTGTCTGATAATTCCCAACATCCACCAATTTTTTTTTTCTTTTTTAGAAATGTATTGAAAGTGGGCAGGCAACAGCAGCCATAAGATAAATTTATAGAAAATTAATCTGCAAACTGATGAGATTTAAGGTATTTAAAAATAAAAGAAGTAATGCTTTTTACATGCTAATTAACATTGTTCAGTCTGGTTATATTCTGTTAAAAATCTTACTAATCAGTACACTCTTCTGTTTTTTGTCTTTTCAAAAGTTTACCAGGATTTTTAATATGTGCAGGGCTAATTGTTTAAAGAAATTTGAAATTTAAAATGTTTTGCTAGTCTATAATGGGTTGTTTATTATCATTCAGACTATTGTCCTCATCTTTATTGTCATATTGACAACGTTTTGGCCATTGTACACTCTGGCCTCCTCAGTTGATATATGTTGAAATTAAAAACTGAGATTTAATTCATGGGTGGTAGATTGTTCTAATTCCATGTGCCATGCCTTTTTTGGATCTTTCAGTTTCAGTTAATTCCCTATAGAAACTCAACTCTTCAAGTTTTGTTCCCTCTGCTGTGGCCAGGTATTGAACTCACAACTCTTTGGGTTAAGTCACTTTTTGGATTACTCAACAAATGCTTTTATTTATTGGACGTCAGTGAGTAAATCACGTGAAGAAAGCCAGAGTGTACAATGACCAAAATGTTGTGATTATGGCAATAAATATGAGGACAACAGTCCGAACAATGTAAATAGAATACCTCATCTCAGAAATATAGACAGATGATGATGGGCTGTATAGGAATAATTGTTTTGTTTGTTAAATACCAATATTTTATGGTCTACCAAAGATACACAAAACAGGAATCCCTATAGACTTGCAAAAAGTATAGAAAAATGTTAACCCCACTTCTTGGAACAATTAGTTCCTCATATATATATATATATATATATATATATATATATATAAAATCTGCTAACTTTATTGAAAATACCCAACAAGAGATGTGCATTTTTTTAAATACAGTAATGCTATAATAGCATCTTGTAGCTTAATGGTAAAACACACTTGGCTTAAAAGCAGTTTCCCCAAATTAAAAATGGAGTACAGGTTTGGTTTGATTCCTGTTAGGAGGAACATCTTTTTTCACTCTTATAATATATTGTTCAGTCAGAAGCAGAAACAATGTTTCACATTGTTTTCATCTAATATAATAATGAAGGAATGTTTTTTAGGGTCATTACCAATGCTGAAATGGAGTGTTTTCACTGCAACCTGGTAAGAAAGTGCTAGAGCATGCAATGCAAAACAAATAATTTACCTTGGTTGAAGAAAGCACATGCCTTGCTCACATTTCAAGACCATATAGTTGTGCTTCTTTGCTCATAAGGACATAGTTTACTGCAAATTCTTAGTACAAGGATGAACTGTCAATCAACATGTTTATTTGGAAGTGCTGAATGGGTTATGCTACCCAAAATGTGGCCTAACAATTCTTCTACAATGTATTAGGTATTCACAAGTTTTTGGGAAAGAAATCAATGTAAAAGAATTTCATCTTTTAACATTAATCATAAAAAATACAAAAACATGATTAAATTCTTACATTGGTCACACAAACACCACAGTCTTTTATTGGTTTACTCCTCATGTATTGAAACTTAGTGCTATTCATACGCATATTGGTAATGACATCATAAACAATAACATAGCCTTTCATTACAATATACATATTGAATGTATACAAATTTGTATATACAATCACATAAGGTTGATTAAATAAGGAACAATTTGGAAATGTTTATAAATTTGATATGTTTCTCTATTTATCCCCCTTTAGGAGTGGAGGGATTTGGTGTTATATTACAATCTTTAGATTCTGTGTTGTTTTCATTGGTTGTGTATGCATTATATGTATATTCGTATCACTGTTTATGTCTTTGTTAATTTTTAAATTCTATATTTTGTTAAAAATTTTCTTACTTATTCTATAATTAATTATTCTGTTGGATTTAATCGACATTTTTTATTTGTATATAAAAGTATAAATTCATACATATTAAATATACACATTTCTATGTGGACATAATACACTGAAACCTGTGTGCATGTATGTATTTCTACAATTTAATATGCATTCATAGGAAAACCAAATAAGAAAATATTCTGAAAATTACTAGTAAAAGAAATATCTTAATTTTCCCCATTGCTATTTTGCTTGGAAACTTCAAATAAAACATTTCTGCAGTTATTCTTGTATTTTTAAATTCTATGACATGCAAATAACACTTTCATTGCCAGTCAATATAACTCAGTGGTATTCCACTGGACTGAAGGCCACTGGCTGAGAGGTGTCAGTGTTTAGGTGGAAAATCATTACCATACTAGGAAAGAAAATGTATTTATTTTAAAATTTATAAATGAATGTTTTGTTGCTATCATTGAGATCTTTTTTTATTTGCAAATGTGGTCATACTGATTTCAGGGTTTGTTTACAACTTTTTATCTCTCTGAGGTAAAAAAAATATTGAATTGTTTGGAAAGTAATATTTTCTGTTTTTGAGAGTGAAGATATTCCTGTTGAAATGCAGTTAGAAAAACAAAAGCAATCTCAGAATTCTGTTAGAAAATAATTCTTTTAAATTTTTTTTCTATTAGCAGCAAAATCAAAGTGTCACCCCACTCCAAGTCTTTGGTGTATAGTTAGCAGAATATGGTAGGTTTTGTATATTATGAACTTTTTTCAATAGAATATGGTAAATTTTTTGTTATTAGGAACTTTTAGAATAAGTCAGAAGAATCACAGCCAATGTTTATTGTCATGAATGAGTGAAAATTTATGTAATAATCTTCAGTATTGTTCAACAAAATTGTGTCGCCCTTCACAAGAACAATGCAAGTTTTACATTCAATAAAATAAACTCAAGAAGATCAAATCATGAAGTTGAAAGAATCTATCTTGGCATCCCTTCTCAGTGGATTTAACATCTCTGAAATTTTCATGTTTTTTCTTTCTAATCATTGGTACACTTTCTTAGTGATGAAACTTAAAATGCTGATATTTTCATATTCAGTATATAATTTTTTTTAAACTAGTGTCATAATCTTTGATTTTATTTAAGTTTTTATTTAAAAATAAATTTTTATTGAGGGAATTTGGAAAATAAAATTAACTTTGGATAGGAGTTGAATGCATACCCTATATAATGTTGGAAAATTGACATGGATTTGGATTGGAATGAATGCACTAGTAGTCAGTTAAAACCCCTGACTAACATTGGTGGTTAGTGGTGCCTTGTGATATAAAAACCTCCTTTGGTGTGCAGGTCAGAGTCTTAGCTGATATAATTATATTGTCCTAAATTTGTGCAAATTAATTTTGATGCTGAAGAACATATAAACTTAAAAGTTGACAAAAAAAAATGTGATTGCATATATTTATTTCTGATAAGTAAAGATGGAAAATATTTATCAACTAATTGTCTTTTGAAAAAGTTTCACTTTTTGTGGCTGAATAACTTTATCAAATGTTTTT